TCCGCTGATAGCCCTTTTCTCCCACAATCCCAAGCACATGACGATGTTGTCTGCCATAAAAAAGGCCCTGGGCAAGCGAGTGACAACCCTCGAGAGTTGGTGAGAATGAGTGTGCAGGTTGAAAGTGTACTATTGCAGATGTACCTAGAATGACAATTTACCAGGTTGGGTTAAACCCTTTTTAAGAAATGAGGTTTGTTTTCCTGTGTTTTTTAAGGTTCATGAATCCTAACTAATTTGGTATTCATCATCCAGGAATTTATGCAAAACCCTCATGAATGAAGGCAAGGAGTGGGAAATGGCTTGCTTTCTGTGTCGTCAGTTGCTTGTTTGCTCCAGCTGCTATTCAGCGGGGCCTCTTTCACGTGTGTCCTTCCCTTTAGTACAGTGGTTCTCAACCTTGGCTGCACATTAAAATCACCTGGGAATCTTTTTAAAATCCTGATGTCTGGGCCTCATCCTCCAGAAATTCTGTTTCTTTGTTATGTGGTAGGACCACAACATTACAGTGGGGCCTTGACTTACGAGTTTAGGAGCTCGTTAAGGAGCTCGTTAACTCAAATTACTCTATCAACTCAATGCAAAAAATCTGCGGAGAGACAGCTGGTATCTCAAAAAACTCGTTAGTTGGGACACTCATAAGTCAAGGCCCCACTGTAGTAACAAAGAAACAGAATTTCCAGAAGATGAGGCCCAGAAATCAGGATTTTAAAAAGATTCCCAGGCGATTCTAATGTGCAGCCAAGGTTGAGAACCACTGCTTTAGTACCTTGTGTGGTCGAGGTGCTTGTCTGGGCTCTGTTCCTGCATTTGGACTATTTTAGGCTCCTCCCTGGGACTCATTAACTGTTCCCTTCTGCTTTGTCACCATCATTTTTACCTGTTGCTTTGCTCACATTCTCTAACTCTCTTAAATTCCCATTGAGGCTTCCTCCAACACTGAGGATCAAATCAGACACCCGCTTTTGTGATAAAAAAACAAAACAAAAAAACACCCTTCACTGGGGGGTTTGATCCCTGCTACTCAGTGTGCTGCCCATGGACTAAAAATTTGCAGTATAAGCATCACCTGGGAACTCAGAACTATCAGCTCTGCCTCAGGTGAACTGCATCAAAGCGTGCATTTTAACAAGAGCCAGGTGGTTCAAATGCACATTCGCATAGAGAAGCACTTTCTGGAAATCTTCACTGCTGGGGTTGCGGCCAACAGCGAGTGTCACTGAGAAGTTTCTCTGCCTGGCTCTGAACACACCATCAACAGTGTCTGATTTAAGCTTCCCAGCATCCCAGTGTGGTATGTCCTATTGTTTACATTTTCGGGAGGGGAAACTGAGGCTCTGGGAGACTGAGGCGTTGCTGCGATTATGCAGATAGTAAGTGGTGGGGCAGCCTGGATTCCGTCTGAGACACGTTGCTTCCAGAGTCTTCGTTCCCTACCTCGGGCTCTGTGGCGTCCCTCCTCCTGGCGTCTCTGTGCTCCGGGCCAGTTCACTGGACTCACTGGCTGCTTTCTCTCCCGCCTCTGAAGCTCCTCTAAGCAAAGCCACTGTGAACGGAACACGGCTGCTTGGTGTGTTCCAGCGAAGAGCTTTGGGTCCTGGGATGACTTTTCAGTAAGACGGTGTGTGTATATAGCTGGGTCTCTATCATTGGGTTTCTCTCAGCCTGAGAATGAGCTCTCTCTCCTGCTTCCAATTAGAGAGAACTGCTTAGAGCTGCAGATGTCCTCCCGGACCTGAACTCCTCTGGCTCTGCTGAGAGTCAGGAGTATCTCAAACTTGACCTTTGGAAAAATACAGCTCTAACCTGAACAAATGGAATGAGTAATAAGACGTTGCAATGACTTTTGGTCCAGAGCTGAAGTTTGGAATATCTATAGCCTGTGTACTCGGGGCCAAGGGTAAATTCTAGGAAGGTGGTACGTGAGGTCTGGCAGAGATGAAGGTCAGTGGTTTCCAAACTGATTACTGACCTGCTCTGAGGAGCTGCTCCAGAGGAGGACTGGGGGACTGGAGGTGGCCTGGGCTGAAGTAGGGATTCCCTGGGGCCCTCCTCACTTTTAACCAGTGAGTACAGGCTTCCAGTCTTACTATTTTATCTAATGGGCCCTGAGTACCATTTTATTTAAGGGGCCTCTCCCTGCTTTCAGACATTTTGTGTACCACAAAGCAACTGAACTAGTGCTACTCTGTCCTTTGCAGCTGAGGCCGCTGTAGTTCCAAAGGACGAATTGACTTCCCCAAGGTCACACATTGTTTGGGCTAAAAACAGTTTCTTGTTTTCCTCCTCTGAAAGCTCAGCCTGCTGTCTGGATCAGCCCTGAGCACGTCAGTGGCACTGACCTGGCCGTCCTTCCTTTGCAATTGGGACTCTGGTGTGTGTTTGGAAACAAAATGCTGTTCAGGTGTTCAGAGCAGAGCCAAGTCAAGAAGTTATTTATTCTCGGTGTTCTTTCTCTTCCTATGCAACGAGTCTGTAGTGCCCCCTCTCTCCTGATCGGTTTATGCATCAAAGGCAGCCTTGCAGAGAACACAGAATACCCTGGTAACGGCAAAATAGAGTAGCTCTTCTCTGACCCACAGGTTAAGTTACTGGAAACCCCACTTTAGAAGAATGTGCATTTGAGGAACTTATGACCAAAAAAGCAGGATGGCATTGGGAGACTGAAATCACACTTTTTTCTCCTCTCTACCACCCCCCCAAAAAATAGAGAGACCTGAGAGATTGTAAAAAGCACATCTAAAGATAGTACTTGGAACACTAGAGCAGTTTGCTGTCATCGCTGAGGGTCTTTTCAATTATTTACTAGGATTAAGATATTGAACTTGGCCTCAGGTAAATCTCTAGGGTAGGGATATGGTTGTCACTGAGTACTTATAATGTCAATAGCACTTGAAAAACCATGAAATGACACGAGAGAGGGGTTTGACCCTTGTCAGAGTTTGGCAAAAAGATCTTGTAAAGTTTCAGTGCAGGACAGATTACCAGGTGTACCTGGAAGCTGGCAGGTTAAAGTAATCTTTATGCCGAGAGGGCTCTTCACAGGGTTTACCTGAAGGTCAGGTCCATTGCATGTACATTTACAAAATGGAACTGGCAGAGATTAGTCCTCAGAGAGATGATAGAGGAGTTTTTCACTTAGTTATTTGTTCACAGTTCCTTGTCCCTGTTTTGCAAATCCAGTAATAATATTATCTTGGCAGAGAAATGAAACTACACACTTCCTTATTTCATTCATTTTGAAGACTGATCTCTCCTGTTTATGGTGGATCTATTGCCATTCTCTCTCATTTGAATTCACTTAGAAGTTAAAGTTCATCCTAAGAGAGATGAACTTGTAGCTTGCAGTGCGTGCTCGCCCCTGACTAGTGACTTTCTCCAACGTAGTACCATGCATTGCTCAGTTTGAGGCTGAATTCTTGAACTTTCTGTGACTGGTTGAGACAAATCCAGATACACCGCTGGAGCTGAGAGCAGTGGCAGCTTCCCCTGAGTCACAGGGCTCTGTGGGGGAGGTAGAGATGCTGGAATAAAATCAGGAACCTCTTAGAGAAAGGAATGCATACTTGATAGGCAGCCAACAGCGTCAAGTATGGTTATATTCTTTCAATTTCCAAGGTCATCTTTTTAGTTTATTTTATTCCTTAAGTATATCATATACCCTTGGCCCTTTTCAAGGCTTCAAACACAACATTGGTCCTTTAAAATTTCACTGCCCCGAATTATTATATAGTTTGGCTCTCTCCCTCTCTCCCACCAGAAAAGAGCTCCTTAAACCCAGGGGTCATGCTTGACTCATCTGAATCTTCGCACCCAGCACAGGTTCCAGGCCAGTGGTTCTCAACCTTCTGGCCCTTTAAATACAGTTCCTCATGTTGTGACTCAACCATAAAATTATTTTCGTTGCTACTTCATAACTGTAATGTTGCTACTGTTATGAATCGTAATGCAAATATCTGATATGCAGGATGGTCTTAGACGACCCCTGTGAAAGGGCCGTTCGACCCCCAAAGGGGTCGCGACCCACAGGTTGAGAACTGCTGTTCTAGGCCATCATAGGTACAGAATGAGTATGTGCAGAACAAATACAGATAACTTAGTCTCTGAATTACCCCAGGATTCAAAAACCTCAGAATTTGTATAAAACAAAACAGAAAATTCAGACCGACAAGGGTGTTGACATACTTGCCCCTGTGGTTGGGTTGCCTCTTTTCCTCCCCATTGGTGTTTTTCGTTGATTAAAATCTATGACTACTATAAATAGCATGTTTTATTTCTTGGCTCATCACTAATAAACCATAATTTAAAGGTGTTCACCATATTTTGAATAGATTGCTTATTCCTATTTTAACCCCCTTAAGTCTTTTTTTTTTTTTTTTCCTGCCTACTCCAGAATAAGAGGGGAAATGGGACTGTCTATTAGCAGGCTCTGTGTATATTTACTGCTTTTTTTTTTTTTTTGCACCATCACTGTAGTAGGTTAACCTTCTTTGTCCCATTTAAAAGGTAAACTATTTTAATAGGGATTACATTGAATATATAGATTCCTTTGAGTAGTAGGGACATTTTAATGATGCTAATTCTTCCAATCTATGAACACGGCATATTCTTTCATCTGTTGGTACCTTCTTCTACTTCTTTTTTTTATTAACTGGATCGTTATTGTTGAAAGTATTACAGATGATCCTTTTTTCCCCCCAGTTGACCCCCTCCACCCTGCCCCTATTTCTTTTTCAATGTTCCTATCTTCCCTGATATTTCTGTCTTGGATGTTAGTTAATTTGATGAAGAGCTAACTTTTTCTGTGATTGTGTGGACAAATTGGGTTGATAGATGTTCAACAACTATGTACATTGATGGTAACAATGCCATAATGACATAATGAGAGGGGAGGCAACACCATGGCAACTAAGACCCGAGAGTTTTAGAGAGAGGTTTCAAAGTTTGTCCTCTAGTGGCAAGTTCAATGAATTCACAGTCTTCTAACTTTTGTTTTTCAGGCTTATGTACAAAAGTACATTGTGAAGAATTATTTCTACTATTACCTATTCAGATTTTCAGCTGCTTTGGGTCAAGAAGTGTTCTACATCACATTTCTTCCGTTCACTCACTGGAATATTGATCCTTATTTATCCAGAAGACTGGTCATCATATGGGTTGTAAGTATTACTGTTATGCATAGATTGCTACTACTTCTGCAACAACTACCTGCTTTGGCATCCAAGTACTTTGCATATATGTTCTTTTTTTTTTTTTAATCACTTAGAGTTGAATGTTTGCCTGGCTTACTTTGGAAAAATAACAGGAAAAAATAAAATGCTATAAACACAACTTGTTTTGTTTGCAAAAAAAGAAAAGTACCTATAGATTTTGTGTACTGTGGTGTCCACGTTCCTGTGGGTGACTAAAACTAGACGAGGGGAGAGGTGGTGTGTGGAGAAGACAGGACTTTTTGAGAACTCAGAAGGGCCATAAAATGCATCCTCCTAAGAGGCCCATTTTAGTAAAATTGGATCAAAAATGGAACCTGGAAGCTGTTGACTAATAACTCGAAGGGGTATTAAGCAGTACTCTGAGAGACAAAAGCATATAAGGCAGGGTACCTTCCTGAGGGACTTCTCGTGTAGTGGGGGCAGCTGGCATAGACACAGAAACTCAGTGGCAATTCCAGGTAGAGAGGTGGAGCCCCTTTCTGATGTTTTACTTGAGACCCTATTGTTTAACTTTTTTCAGGACCAAGTAAATTCTATTTTAATTATTATTGTTACTGGGAAAGATGATGAATATTTGCAAGGCAGCAAGGCCTGCTGCCAGGTACGGGCTTTGGGATAAGAAAGGCCTGGGTTCAAGGCAGTTCAACCACAGCACTTGTCTGCGTGCCCTTGTCTGTAGTCTTACCTGTCTCACCAATACAATGGTGTTGGTACTGCACACCTCCCAGAATCTTTGTGAAGACGTACAGAGTGTGCACAGAGCTCGGGGCCTGATACCTGAGAACCTGATAACTCATAGTGACTAGTCCATGAAGGCAAAGGGGTCAGCAAGATCAACGAATTCTAAGGTCAAAGATTGTTTAGCTGGGAGAGGGAGCTTCAGGGACAAGTTTCTGTGTCTATGCCAGCTGCCCCCACTACACGAGAAGTCCCTCACGAAGGTACCCTGCCTTATATGCTTTTGTCTCTCTAATATTTATAGAGTATTGCTTCATACCGCTTCAAGTTTCCTAACTCAGGATTCCAAAAGCTACAGTTCAGGAGTGGGTGGTTGTGTGTGAAGGAGTTGGGGTTCCCGTGCAGCAGCTCTGCTCTGAGAAGTGCTGTGATCTTAAGTCAGTGATTGCCCCACCCCACTTCCGGCTTCATTTTTTTTTTTTTTTTTTTCATTTCTAGAACATGTTAGGGTGACCTTGATCATGAGCCATAAACTTAAATATCCTCAAAGGCAGGGAAAGAAGTAAAACAGTGACGTCCTGGGTTGGGAGAGGTGCCCAGGGTGGGGGGAATCCGTGAGTCCCCCGGGGCCCCAGGGAGCAGCTGTCCCTCTGTGCCTGCTGTCACTGCCACATGGGAATACGGGCCGGAGTTGCCAGATCTGTTTTTCATGTGCCATCTCCCACGTTTTAAGTGTAGGCTTACATTTTTTAAAAACATCACATGCCAACAGAACACGGAATACTTGCAGTCCAAACGTATGGGGCCTGGGTTGAAGCCTCCAGCCCAAAGGACCACTAAGGTCCTAGGTTTGCCTTTAGGATTATTTGGCCTCGGATGCTCCCTGTTTTCTCCTTTCTGCCTAAAACTGCAAGCCAGGCTTTCCTTCCCCTGTCTCCTGGCCAGCCCTCTTGTGAAAGCCAGCTTCTGTCTCAAAGTATGACCCGCTTAGAATAGGCACCTTGCACAAGGTGAATGGCAGGGCAGTTGTCCCCTCCCTGTCTGAGTCCAGCTTCTGTGCCTGCAGAGCAGTGGCGGCCACTGGAGGAGTTGGGGGTGGGGAGCATTCCTTCTGTTCTGAAGATCTGAAAATGCTTGAAAGACCAGGTGCTTAAGTTTCTTTCAGTCATTTATTTTCTGAGGTACCGCCTCCCCCCCTCCCCAATCCAACTCTTATGGTGGTAGAGGGGGGCAAATGATGTTAATTACTTGTAATATCCTGGGAATATCTTGTAATGTGTAAGGTCGGCTCAAGGCCAGTTATCTCCTCCAATGAGGGTGGAAACTTTTCCTGAGGGGCCGCAAGGCAGTGGTCACAGGGCTCTCTGATTGTCATTATTGGTTGTTATTTTCCGAGTTGGAGTCCTCATTTCAAAGTGCACAAAGGATTTCCTGTTTGAGATAGAATTACCAGTCTTTTATTGAGAATGAGCAAATGAAATCTTTGCCTGAAAAAGGAAAGCACCTAACCTTTGAGTATGCAGTCTGTCCTGAGCTTTGGCAACTTGTGACTTGCTTTTAAAAATGGGTGCATGGCCAGATCCACCAGACACCCAGGTTGAATTACACGCTCCGTGTGCTCATTTGCATCTGGAAGGCAGGGTGTGTGATTCTGGCAGTTCCTGGTGGAGAGAATGGAGGCCATGGGGGTGCTGGGTGGGGGGAGGTGGAGGCAGAAGAGAGGGAAGGGAGGGAGGGAAATTAACAAGTAGGAAGGGAGGGTCCTCTGCACTACAGAGATAATGAAGAGAGACGCTTGGCTTGGCCCCAGTGTTGAAGGTGGACAAAGGGAAGGGAAATTCCTGGGGTGTTGGGGTTGCAGGGGAAGGAGAGGTGGAGCAGGGTGAGGCTCTTGTCAGCTTCCTACAGAGAGGCAGCCTCTCTCCTGGAAGGGCTATCCCTGAACAGTGGCTGCCTCCTCAAGGGCTCAGGATTAAGAAATGTTAATTACATAAGGGGCTGAGCTTGAAGTCTTGTAACTTGAAACATCTAATCTCACCCAACAGTCTTTGGAAGGCAGCTGCATTCAGGAGCGCCAAACCTCTTGTCAAATTTTATATTAATTTTACAGTTGTCATTGGATGAAGTCCCAACACGTTTTATTGCTTTTAAAAGTCATTTGTTCTATTCAGGGTGACTCATACAGTCTGAAATAGTTTAGCAGAATTTATGATTTGCTAACTGCTTTCTCATCACAATCCTGATTGTTTCTCCCTTATGTGGTACAGCTTTTATTGGCATCTGTGTTCATTATCTTTTTTTTTTTCATTACCATATTTGATCTTCATAACAGTGGGCTAGTATCATTTTCATCATTGTATAGATTAGGACAGTAATACTTCAAATAGTAATAAGCCATGTCAAATGCTGAGCCCTTAGTATATATGCCTTTCACTGTAATGGTGCTTTTTATATTTTACCTCATTTATCCTGCCAGCAATCCTGATGAGGGTTATTGCCAGCCCATTTTACAGATCAGAAAACTGACATGTAGAAAGGTTAAATAACTTGCTCAGGATTACATTGGATTAAGTAACGAAGTGGCCTTCTGTGCTAGAAAGAGAGAGGGCTACCATGGTTGTTTCTTAGCAAATCAGCTAAATGACATGAAAAGCATTCACTGTTCATTTAAAAAAAAAAGATATTAAAGCTGAAGTTTAAACATTAAAATGTTGTGCACAATGTTCTCTTCTATTGCTTATTTGCTGTGGTTGTGGTTCATGTTGGCCGCGTGGCATTTTTTAGCTCTGTATTCTACATAATTGTCTTTTATATACCTTTCTTGACAAGTCTAAGGTATTTATCTCAGAAAATTTAGATGAGCTTTTGTTAAATAAGCTGGAAGACATCACATCATTATTTCTGTCACCTGTCACTTATCAAGGTTTTTAACCTGTCATTGGTTGAATTCAGTAGAATCTTAGACTTTGGGACAGAAAAGTTGGGGAATGGGTTATCTAATTAGATGCTCATAAAAAGATATTGTTGATAGTGCTTCAGAAGAGCCTCAGTCCAACTGAGTGACTGTGATCTCTTGACTTCCTTTAGCGGCACGGTGATAGCCCCACCAAAAATTAAAACAGAGGCTTTAAAATAGCATTGCTGTATCTCAAAAAGGTTAGAGGCACTTTCATTGAACCTGCATGGTGTTTAGCTTTGTAACATGAGGGCAAATTCACTTTTGGCTAAATAACTTTATTCTCCACTTTTTGAAAGAGCAATGAGCAATGAAAAGATTGATAACATGATTGATCCTTGGAAGGTTCATTTTCCCTGTCCTTATATTTTACTTGTTTGTATTCTGCCTCTTTTCATAGATACTTCATGGCATTCAAGATGAGATATACAAAAAAAATGGGAATAGCACATAAAATAAAAATCAGGAGTAATACAGATAGAATAAGAGATTAAGGTTTAGTGTACAGTTAAATGTAACTTGCTGATTCCCAAAGTTGAGCCACAAATTTGCCTTTGAGCTTTGCCTTGACCAAACCAAAATGAAATTACATTATCCAGAGCATTTGAGATCTTGCTCCCCAGAATATATGTCAGTTTGGCTCAAATAAACTCTTACAAAAATTCTCAAAAACATGCACAAACATTATCCACTGGGAAGTAATGGGCTCGTTTCTAAGAGAGGAAGCCTTTTCCTGCCGCATGGGATTGGTAGAAGCGTTATGGCCAATGACTCACCGCAAAATTATTTTCCTAGAGTGTTGTTTGCTTTTAGTCACCACATCATCTGTGTGAGAGTACTCATTTTGATGCTTCCTCTTGAGCTTTGTGTATGGTTATTTTTTAATCATTGCTAATTTAAACAATGAAAAAATGGTATCTCAGTTCATTTCCACTTCATGTATTTTTAGTGACGATGAAAACCTTTTTCAGATTTTTTTTAGCCATTTGTTTTAACTCTTGAGAATTGTCTGTCTGCCTTTTGAGTACTTTTAAAAAGAATTTTAATATTTTAATTTTTTTTCCACCAGGTGTTAACATAAAATGGTACTGAACTATTGATTTTTCTTGTCTGAAGCAATGTGTCTTTATGAGATTTTTAAAAGTTCAAGACTTTGAGAAATGGTATTTGACTTTATGGTATCATCAATAGTGACCTAAGAAAGTCATTTAAAATTGAATTTTAACACTTTTATTCCATATGTTCACTTTAGGCACAGACCTCTCCACTCCCTGTTGTCTTACCCTTTGTGATCTCCCTGGTTCTTTGAAAG